ACTGAAGAAGAGGATGAGGAAGAGGAAAGAGACAACAGGCAGGTGGCAGGTGAGGACAGCTGACAGCTCTCCTGTAGTGCAGCCTGCTGGGGGCTGCTGTGTGGTGGGGGCCTCTGGGGGGCTTCCCGTGAGCAGGAGTTAGAGGGTGGGGAAGCAGTAGAGGAGGAGGAGGAGGAGGAGAAGCCGGCGCTGCTGGTGTTGCTTGGCGAGAGGTTAGTACGGAACCCGTTGACGCAGGCGACCATCGACATCTGGGAGGAGGAGCAGATGATTGCGGTGATATTGATCTCCTCAGAAGCGGTGCCAACAGCTGATGGGGAAGCGGTGGCAGCGGCGGCGGTGGATTGCGAGGCCAGGGACAGGCAGCGTCTCTTCAGACTGCCAGCGCTGAGCAGCCGCGCTGAATGACGGGAGCCAATCGGAGACAAAGCCAGCGGGGAGGAGCCATCTTCATTATTAAACGGTTGTCCTGCGTCTCCTGGCACAGCGCTACCTACACCGCTCACTGCACATACGCCATTACCGTTGTTGCTAACACGCAGCGATCCAACCATCTCATCCCTGGCCACCTCCAAAACTTGGCCCGCAGCGTGGGCCTGAAATCCAGCCTGAGATGAAGACTCCACGTTGGAGATCTTGTAGCCCATCGAGCTCTCCTGTTTGACCGGGTAAGGGAGAGAGGAGCGTGCGCCGCTGCCACCACAGCCCAGGCCGGGCGAGGCCCCTGGCAGGGTCCTCCCGAAGGCAGAGGAGGATCTGCGGGGAGAAAAATACAAAAGGAATGTGAGCACTATTAGCTCAGCGCCTGCTGACAGACAGGCTGGTTCATCCTTCCCACCAACATCGCTGTCAGTGTTCTGCCTTTTCATACTGTTGTTTCATACAATTTTTCTTCAGGTTAAAATGAAACTCACGTAACGCTGAAAAGGTCCCACTAACCTAAAACATTTCAGCTGAGCCTCCCGTATCAGAAGTTATGGATGGACTACACCATGACAAGCGAACAGCAACAGAAAATTGTTGATAATCCAAAGTGGCTTTTTTTAATGAATAAATGAAACAGGATCTTCTTGTAGTGAGGGGATATGAATGGGCATTTAAGACTAATAATAGAGCGAGGGGGAGGGCTGGATGGCGACTGAGACCGAGAGGCCACTGGCTGGTGTGTCCGTCTGACGGGCTTTGATGACACAAAGGGGTTAAACCCAACCCAACAGTGGGGATAAATAGGGAGTCACCTGTTTTGGTGGTATAATTGCAGCCTATGAAGGGTCACCATTTACAATACTGTGTATTATGGTGGGAATCTTTGCCTTGCTGAATGGGGAACCCAGGTCATGTTTCTCCATGCGTTGCTGTGATCTCCTACATAATCATTCCTGTCAGTTGGCTCATTATGGATTTTGTCCAAAGCCCCTGAGTGATGTGAGAAGAGCTCTCTTTTTCCCTGGCTGTCGTCTTTGTCTCTTCCCCAGAGCACGCCCAGGAAAAAACAGCACTAATGCTAACTGGGACAGGAGAAAGCCACTGGCGGGCCTTGTCATCATTGCTGTTAATAAAGACTTGACCCCTCTTCTTCTTTTTTTTCTCTATTCAGTAGCCTCATTTCCTCTTCGGCTATACTAAAAATATTGAGAGACGATACGGGAGAAATGAACGTCTGTCCAGACGCTTTCAGCCGGATGGTTAAGACGAGAGAGAGAGAAAGGAGTCGGGGGAGGGAGAAGGAGGACAAATCCACTTCTGCCTTGACCAACAGTAGTCACAAGTTGCACACGGAGGAATTGCATTAGTGTAGCATAAATGTTGTACTTCAGTGTGTTTTATGAGGCCGCTGGGCAATGCTGCAACTGATTCACGATAGCAAACATAACGAGAACCATATTGTACCTGCGTATTGTTAGTAACACGACACCAAACAGGAAACATTCAGAAGTGGAAAAATATGATATCAAACGGGAATAACAGTGACACTTCACCTGGCGTCTTGATGAGGCCCATCCTGCAGAAGGAGGTCAGGTGTAGGTCTGCTGCACTGGAGGCTCTGGGAGTAAAGCCCCTCCGAATGACCCCCCGCTGGAAGCAGCAGGCTCTGCCCACATCGCATCAGGGGGCCCTCGGCATTGCCCAGCTCAGCGTTCGCATCCTTCTCTGAGCAGTAGGTCCCGTTCACTGGAAACGGACAGAGACAATATTACTAAACAGTCTACTTCACAAACTGCACACCTTTTGTCAAAGCAGACTAACACATGCGTTGCGCGTGCTGATATC